GTATAGGTTCAAAAACAGGTGGTAATCGTGAAAAGGATATTACCATTTCTTTGCATTTAAATGGGTTTAGTTGAAAGGAATTGTTCATAGACCAAGTAGTAATATCATCGATATCCATTTGTAAAGTACTTTGTTCATTTTTTTCAACAATTTCAGAGACCGTAGTATCATCAGCAAATTTCCACATTTCTGAAGGATGATTTTGTAACACAAGGTAATTTATCATGGCTAAGAATAGCCAAGGCCCAAGTCGTGTGCCTTGAGGGACACCAGCTGGAACTTGGAGCCAGTCTGAGAAACAATTATCACTTAGTTTGACCCTTTGCCATCTATTACGTAAAAAGTCAATAATCCAGTTGACCACACAGGGCTTAATACCAAGGCTGAATAATTTCGCAACTAATGTGGTGTGATCCACCATGTCAAATGCTTTTTTATAATCAAGAAATACAGTATGAACAGATGAACCACTTCCATCTGTTGCACTCAACCAACAATGGAGCATCGATATCAAAGCAAGTACAGTGGAAGAATTTGGAATAAAGCCAAATTGTTGGGGATCAACAACCTTTAACAAAGTTGGTTTTACTTCTCTTTCGATTACAAGACGTTCCGCTATCTTTGATAGGGTGGAAGTTAAGGAAATAGGTCGTAATTCCCTTTCCAAGTCTTTGACAGTAGATGTTTTTGGTAAGGGGACCACATCGGCCAGCTTCCAAATTTGAGGAACTTTACAACTTTGAAAGGAAAAATTGATTATATTTGCAACTGGTGAGGCGAGAATATCCGAATAGGTTTTTAAAACCCAATTGGAAATACCGTCAGGGCCACTGGAACGCGATGTACTAATTTCTTGCAATTTTCTAGCTATAGTTGACTCGGTCACAATAATAGGCGTTTCATCGTTGTGTACAATTACAGCCGTATCTTCAGATAATGGAACTTTTATAACTTCTATGAAAACTATAGTTTTCATAACTAAAGGACTATATGTTTTTGAAAACTATAGTTTCTATAACTATAAAGCGTTGGCAAATATGGCACGCCGATTGTAGCAATATTCAAACCGGCATATTTATACTCAATTCAATAAAAAACCTATTCAATTCAATAAAAGGCATATCCAATTCAATAAAAAACACATTCAATTCAATAAAAAAATTCAATAGACCACTTTGGCGGCTTTGTGTTAATTGGAAACACGTGCTCGCGAAATAGGAAACTCGGACAAACATGGCGGAGCATAATAGAAATGCTATTCAAAATACACAAATGTTTCGGCCATTTAATAGATAAATTTGCTCGCTTTCGTCACGAAACAATAGTCAAAATGGAAAATATGTCACAAGAAGAAAAATTCAAAGTGGTGTGGGTGTCCTTATGATAAATGTCAGTACCATCAACCGAGACTTTTATGTCTAAAAAATGAACTACGCCATCGGGAAATGTATCAACTGTGAAATTTAAGTTCGGATCGAAACTATTGAACTTAGCTAAAACGGCGGAAATATTGGAAGGTTTTATCAAAACAAGAGTGTCATCAACGTAACGTTTGTAGAATTTTATAGTACCATCGGCAATCAACTCGGAAACTGTTAATCTTTCAAATTCAGTTAAAATTATATTAGCTAAGACAGGTCCTAATGATGAACCCATAGAAACGCCGTCTTTTTGGACATAAATTTGCTCGTCAAAAGAAAAGGCAGTTTTGTTGCAACAATCCAAAATGAGTTTCTTCAAAGTGCGCTTTTTCAAAGTGGTTGCAATTAATTCGTCTTTATAAATACGATCTAGAATAATTTTGACTGTCCGGGAAAGTGGAACGTTGGTAAAAAGGGATTCAACATCGAAAGAAACGAACTGGTAGCCTTCTTGAAACAAATGTTTGGGAATGTTGTTAATATTGGTCACCGCATCAAAAGAATCAGAAAGAGAATGATCATTTAAAGTAAGAGGATTTAGTAAAGAAGATAAAAATTTTCCAACGTTGTAGTGTGGAGTGTTAGTAGTGTCAACTATTGGTCGGAATTTAGGTAAAGTGTCAAATTTCTTGCGAGTCTTTGGCAAACCGTGTGCTCTGCCAAAATGTGCTGTCATAGGTCTTAAACGTCAAGTTGTTCGTCAGTAATTTCATTACGTTTGTGAAGTTTAAGTAGGTAGTTCTATAAAGAATGAAGTCTAGATAATGTCGGGTCATAATCCGATTTCTTAAACTTAGAGGAATCAGAAAAAAGAGATTTGATAGAATTTACATAATCAGAGCGATTAATGAGCACAATGCCATTTCCTTTATCAGGCTTAAGGATGGCAAAAGTTTCTGTTAGTTTGTTTAGAATGTTTATCTTCTTGCGCCCTAGCTTAAACTCCTTCAAGTCAAGATCAATATAATTATAAGTGAAGGAGCGAAGAGAGTTCTTAATCTTATCTTGTACGTATCTTCCTTCCTTGAAAATATCCAAACGTGATACCTGTCTCCAAATGTCTTCAGCCACAGCCATGATTTCTAGTTGGTTAGGTCGAGTTACCAGGCCATATCTGAGTCCCAACTTTAAAACATCCAGTTCATCGGACGAGAGCGAGTGATTCGTCAAGTTCACAATTGTCTTGTTTGGGTTCTCAGTGATACCATCAGATGTCCATTTCAGTGCGGTTAAGACAGAGAGCTTTTTCTGGTGTCTACAAACAATCTTGGTTTTCTCAGAGGAGAGGAGGCAGTTGATGGAAAAGCAGATAAGTTTATATTTCATCCAGGTTGTGCGCTGAGATAATTGATGTTTAAGTTCAGTAGTTTCGGTAGTAAGCTTCTGAAGCGCGATTTTCTTGTCATGAATGGCGTCATTCAACAACAGATGCAGATAGCGTGCTTGGGCCTTCTTTCTCTTCATGCGAGTGATGTTCTTCCATCTCACAAATTTCGGATGAACTTGATTCTTCTTACAATCGAGTAAGAATTTTAAATCAAGTTGGGCTTTCTCAAGCGTCGTAAAGATCGTTGGTAGCGTATGCAAAGCTTATGCAAATCAGAGTCGGTGCTTCGGAGAGTAGTCCAAAAACCATGACCAGCCGACAATTTAAAAAAAGATTAAGTTAAAGTGTTATGTGAACAGATGTAGTACAGAACTACAACTGTTCACATAACACTTTAACTTAATCTTCTTCTACATGTCGGGTTTTTCCCTTTCTACCTCAATCCTTCTAATATATTAAACATTGTTGTAAATAAGCTAAATATTCCATTTTCAGTTATTACCATTTTCTTTATCATGTTTCGATTCGCTTGGATAATCCTTCTTTCCGCCCACATGACAGATGCTCTCTCTCTGCGTTGTATATATATATGTGTTGTAAAGTATTGTATTTTATTCTGTCTGAAGATGACTTTGAAATAAAGTCGAAAATTTACAGTCTCAAACTGCGTCTTGTTTTGAATTATATATTGAATTCTCAAGATGTCCTGTATTTTCGGAATTTGTTTTTTACTTTATTTTTTTAAATTGTCGGCTGGTCATGGTTTTTTTTTTTAAGGACATGCGCTTCACCAAAAGCAACAAGTCAAATTAAGGTATTCGCTTCACCAAAAGCAACAAAGTAAGGACATGCGCTTCACCAAAAGCAACAAGTCAAATTAAGGTATTCGCTTCACCAAAAGCAACAAAGTAAGGACATGCGCTTCACCAAAAGCAACAAGTCAAATTAAGGTATTCGCTTCATCAAAAGCAACAAAATAAAGGTGAATTGCTTCATCAAAAGCAAAAAATCCCACCGCATTGTCCATACCAAAAGCATGCATTATACGGTAGCACAATGGTGCTTCACCGAAAGCAATATAGTTAAAATCCAAAAGCAATAGTCCAAAGACAAAGTAGAATAATTACCTGCTCAAAAACAATAACACAAACGGCATTGCGATGGCAGTCAATTTAAAGGGGGGGACGCTTATAGGCTTATGAAAGCAGTCAAACTCTGGGAATTATACGTCCCCAGCACGCGCTTGCGCATGAATACGAAAACACGTCATAGACATGTGTAGGGTTGTGATTAGTGTACCTACCTCGCCAGACCGCACATTAGGAAAACGCGATAACAACCGAGTTGACAAAAAATGAGGCGGAATCTAAAAGAGATTGCCATCCAAAAACCACCTGAACGAGGGTGAGAATAAAACTCGAAATGGCCGTGAAATAACGGCACCGTTTCAAAACGTGGGAGTAAAATACAACCCACGCAAGTTGATGAATATATATGTATAGATATACAGGGTGTATCAAAAAAAGCGCAACCTCGGAATTTCCCAAGACATCGACATTGTTTTAAAGACAAAAGATTTTAGGCGCCTGGTAATTTAAAATAGCATAACTGTCAAAATTACTGCACACGAGAGTGCATAAAGCAAAATTTATGCATTTATTTAATGCACAACAACAGTAATATGATCTATTAGCAATTCGATTTCAATTCCCAGGGGCCTAAAATCTTTTATGCTTAAGAGGCTGTCTCCGTAAAACCTCCAGGTCAATATGGGGCTCAAAATAGATTTCTCTCATACTGTAGTATTTTGAAGATCTATCCTTGGGAACAACTAAAATCGATTTCATTTTACTCAAATTTCCTTTCAATTATTTTTGGGGGCGATTGATGTTCGATCGGCTGGTAACCAACTTGAACTCCGAATGAAGGCAAAATATCGACATATTTTCAGCGCTATTTTTTACATCAAATTCATACCTAAATTTCAAAATTTTTGCTCAGAAATATAGACTTATCCTTCTATTTCCTTTGGTGATATAACTTAGATAATTATTCTTTGTTATAAAATAGAAAACAGCGCAGTTATTGACCCTCCTGAACGGATAAAGGATATCGTCTCAAAATATATCAACTTTGAAAGCTTATTTCAAAATCGTGGCACTTGATTGGCACATGACTTTAACTTTTTTATAAACTACTAACATTAGTCAACACAAATCGCCAATAATATCTTTCTGCTTTACCATTTGACAAAAATGACAAGCGCGCAAACTTTGTAAAATTTGAAAATGTGTCGAAATCGAGCATGCTTTATCGGTAAACCAAATTGTTGATAGTTAACAAATAAAACCACCTTACACTACAGTGAATGAAGCCTGATTATGTAAATATATGTCTTTCATCATTATTCTTTGGTTTTGCACTCGAAAAAAATGTTTGTAAAATTTGAAAATGTGTCGAAATCGAGCATGCTTTATCGGTAAACCTAATTGTTGATAGTTAACAAATAAAACCACCTTACACTACACTGAATGAAGCCTGATTATGTAAATATATGTCTTTCATCATTACTCTTTGGTTTTGCACTCGAAAAAAATGTTTGAGTACAGTTTGGCTTCAAGGATAGTCATTAAATGCCAGTGTGTTCGAATTCTGCGCGCCTCAATGCCATTAGTCCTGATTGTGACATACGAATTTCGCTCTGTTCGCTTTGTTTACCTCCTGTAAATAAAATGTCTCAAAGAAATTAGAAAATTCAGAGTTAGGCATACTACAGACATAATTTTCATTGTTTTTTTTACGTTAAACTGTTATATAAATTAAGTTTCGTTTTATAGAATGTACGAATTAATCTCGGGGAAAACCCCTGGCCGAAAGAAATGTACTCGCTGAGCGTAAACATGTCAATCAAAGCATATAGTTAATATCAAAGACGATGAAATGTTTCGTTGCTCTGTGATTTCTCTTTCTTTGTATTGCATTAAATAGTAGTCTTAGACAGTATTGCACGAGGTTTTTGTGTTTAAAATATTGTTCTTTTCTGTACTAATTCGCGATTACATATGGTGTTCACTACTACCACAGCCGCAATTTAGGGTCACGCAACGTTAGGTAAACGTAAATGATTTCGACAGACAGTTGATTTTATGTTGACAGATGAGAATGACGGTAAGCAATAATGTAGAAATGTTCCTTTTCTACTTCTGAGTGTGGAAAATTCCGAGACACAGTACAGTAGACTGTTCTTCGAAGTTGCTGGCGTGTAAGATGGAACATTAGTTATCACTTGCAAATTTGTCACCTTTTAAAGCTGTCGGAAAGAAGAATATAAATTAATTCTAATTTTCAGAACCTTTCTAATTGTTACCGAAAAAAGGAATAACATTGATTAAATAACTGAGACATTCAAATGGGTTACAGCTGTTTGCGCTGAATTGTTTTGTATTATATCAAAATATTCGCATATTTTTATACAATAAGAAATAATATAAATTCTTGAAACTTTATAGCCTTGAGCAAAATGACCCAGGGTCGGCCTGAAAAAGTTGATTTTTTTATACAGAACCGTGACTTATTTGAATTCTAGTTTCCATTGACAATTGTTTCTAAACCTACAGTTGCTAGAAAACTATCCTGAGCGAAACTAACGCAATATTGACATTTGAACATTTGACATCACAGCGAGTATACATTTCTTTCGGCCAGGGGCTTTCCCCGAGATTTCATTTTATAAAACAGTTAAAAAAAAACGATGAAAATTCTGTCTGTAGTATGACTAATTCTGAGTTTTCCAATTTCATTGAACATTATTATTTGTTAAACATGCAGGTAAAGGTATTTGTTAAAGAGGTATAAACAAAGCGAACAGAGCGCAGTTTGTATAGTATGTCACAATCAGGACTCGTGACATTGAGGCGCGCGGAAGACGCTGGACACACTGGCATTGAATGACTCTATATCCATGAAGCCAAACTGTACTCAAACAATTTGATTCAAGTGTCAAACCAAAGAATAACGACGAAAAACATATATTTACATAATCAAGCTTCATTCAGTGTAGTGTAGTGTAAGGTGATTTTATCTGTTAATATCAATAATTAGGTTTACTGATAAAGTATGCGCGATTTCGACACATTTTCAAATTTTACAAAGTTTGCGCGCTTGTCATTTTTGTCAAATGGTAAAGCAGAAAGATATTATTGGCGATTTGTGTTGACTAATGTTAGTAGATTATAGAAAAGTTAAAGTCATGTGCCAAACAAGTGCCACGATTTTTAAATAAGCTTTCAAAGTTGATATATTTTGAGACGATATCCGTTATCCGTTCAGGAGGGTCAATAACTGCGCTGTTTTCTACTTTATACCAAAGAATAATTATCTAAGACATACTAACAACGAAAATAGAAGGATAGATCTATATTTCTGAGCAAAAATTTTGAAATTTAGGTATGAATTTGATATAAAAAATAGCGCTGAAAATATGTCGATATTTTGCCTTCATTCGCAGTTCAAGTTGGTTACCAGCCGATCGAACTTCAATCGCCCCCCAAAATAATTTAAAGGAAATTTGAGTAAAATGAAATCGATTTTAGTTGTTCCCAAGGATAGATCTTCAAAATACTAGAGTATGAGAGAAATCTACTTTTGAGCCCCATATTGACCTGGAGGTTTTTACGGAGACAGCCTCTTAAGAATTGCAAAGTGATTTCTTAGGAAATTCCGAGGTTGCGGTTTTTTTGATACACCCTGTATTTTAAGGAATGTTGAAAGCCTTAAATTAAGATACCCGGGCAGTAAATATATGTGCAAACAAACATTGCGATGGCAGTAGAAATGTAAAACGCTTATAGGCTTATGAAATCAGTCAAACTCTGGGAATTATACGCTTTCAGCACGCGCTTGAACACGAGGAACGTCGTAGACATGTGTAGGGTTTTGATAAGTGTACCCACCTCGCCAGACCGCACATTAGGAAAACGCGATTAACAACCGAGTTGACAAATAATGAGGCGGAATCTGAAAAAGATTACCAGCCAAAAAACAACCGGAACGAAGGTTAAAAAACTCGAAAAGTGGCCGTGATATAACGGCGTCGTTGCAAAAACGAAGAACGAGTAAATACTGCCCTGGCCAGTTAAAATATGCGGGAATGTTGAAAACCTTAAAGATACCTCGGCAGTAAATATAGAGGCAAACAAAACATGCATGCATGAACGAGCAAACCTAATGACCATGAAAAACGACTATATGCATACAGAAAGACTCCAAAGGAATGAAACAGTGAGAAAATAAAACAAAATAATTATATACTGACGGTCATAATAACCTATTGTTTTCTCTCTGCATTATATCAGCGAATGTCGAGAAGTTTTAGCGTTCTTCTGAAAAACGGGAGCGGTCTTTTTTGATTGTAGGGAAATTCCCAGGGGTAAATGTTTATACGGGCTAAAATAGCACACAGCATTATTAAAAATAATGCAGCGTGCACACAGCATTATTAAAAAGAATGCAGGGTGCAACACAGCATTATTAAAAATAATGCAGCGTGCACACAGCATTATTAAAAATAATGCAGCGTGTATCAGTGCACACAGACATTATTCGCAATCCTTCGTCATCCTGACAAGTACACGCGATAACGTGAACATCTCAAGATGAGAAGTTGACAGTGCTAAAGGCCCCTCATACAATATCATCGGGCGCCTGAAGCACTGCCAAAACAGTCGCTGTGAGTCCTTTCAGCTCAACTTTATAGAGAAATAGTTCCGTTTGCGCTTGTGGAATTTTATCCTAGATATACGCATGTGCAGAACACACCATAAGTTCTATTCCCGTGTTTATCCAGTTTAATACGCTCTTTGAATTAACCTTATCATTAATGATAATATGTAAACTAGAACACTATAATTGACTTCCGCTTGTGGAGATTTTAATTTAGGGCGATTAATTAAACTGAAATCTGTTCTATGATCACGATGCATTACATGCATGTCCTCACAAATGTCTAGTGTAACGTTGAATAGATTCATTGTCATACGGTCCCAACAAGCAGCAACGTAGTCTTCCAGCCGAAAATAATTACTTTTGATTCGGGTCAGTAATTATAATAGATAATTACTTCGGCCAAACGGCATTATTCGATATATTGCAGCCAGCTTCGGCCTTCGGCCTCAGCTGGCTGCAATATATCGAATAATGCCGTTGGCCTCAGTAATTATCTATTAAATAACTTCGAAAACCACGAGATAAAGGACAGAGCATGCACAGCCAAGAGGAAAATAGAACACAGGTCGCAAAAAAAACACACAAAGCATGCACATTGTAGGCCTAAGTACACTTGGTCTTTGGAGGAGTGTGAGCAAAAGCAGTGACTAACGCACTACGGAGGCCTACTCTGGGGCGGTAAATCGCCTTAAATCGCTGCGATATAATGCGATTTTGGGCGATTTTAGGCGATGTTATAAAGATAAATAGTCTAGACTAACATAAGTAACCCTAATACTTGATGTAAGCGGTGACTGAAAAGCCCCAAAGGGGAGTGAGCTGAATAATGTAATGTTTACACACACATATGCATTGTATGAAGTAAAATACAATTATTAGAACATGTATGTACATTTTATATAAAGCTAGGTTAATAATTATTGTATTTAACCCGAATCATATATAAAGCTCAATATTCGTGAACTTTTCATCCATTGTCTTATTTAGAAGCCATTGGAGTTCATCTTGTGGGGTCATGTGGTCATGCATTCATGCATGGCTACATTATATACCACAAATATTGTAAACAGTTAATAAATATACTCCACTTAAGGGGCATGTACGGTACATAATTGCAAAATAGGCTAAACTTTAATATTATTAATTGCAAAATATAATAGATATTTGATTTCCAAAAGAACCACAGCCCACAGGGAGTAGAAACGCACAATATATTTATACAGTTACAATAAGCTATATTCCTATAAATTACCTTGTCACCCTTGTATGTGAAATTGTCTTGTTTTGTATCTTGTTAACACTTCTTTATTTAGCTTGCATTTTATTTAAATAAACTGTTTGAACAAACATGTTTTATAAAATTATGTTTGATATCTATATCCAGAAACAGTTTGAAACAGTATTGTCACGCATTCGGAAACTGTCGGCGTAATGCCGTAAAGTTTAATTTACATGAAGTACATCGCATATAAATGGTCGGAATTCTAAATTTAATATTTAAAAAAAAAACTAAACAAAATGATATTAAACAAATGGCACACCGCGCACTACATCGTGGTTTTAAGTCTTTTACCTGATAATTTGTCAAGTGTTCTGCAAACAAGCAACAACAAAGATTGTATGGTATGTACGATGTAATCATTGTTTTACTGTTTGTTTTATATACAGGTCTGGAAAATTTAATAGATGAGAGCTGCAAAACTTGCAAATCTCGCTCATATTAAACCACACGTATGTTTTTCGTATGATAGCCAATATAATTATAACTAGGAGCTAGAGTATAACCATGCACATGTCGAAGTACAACCATTGTATACAATGCAGTGCTCGATCTACATGCAACAGTGCATAAATTGCAGGATGACCTTATTATATACTCGTACTCATTGACTCTCATTATCATAGTCTCCTACTGTTGTTCTAACAGCAATTAGGCTTTGAGAAGCCATGTATATTATAGATTAATTTGTAGCCCAGCCACCATAGTCCATATAAATTGTAGCCCAGCCTCCACATTTTACACCAATAATGAAATTAACCAGTAACTCAATTTTGTTGCTGGTAGTGTAATGGAATCTATGGGTCTTTCATATCCCAGAATTGCCTAATTATTGTAAAGTCTGCATAAAGCAGAAAAAGGCTCTGTTTTTATTAACGACCGGAGCCTATTGAGTGACTAAATATTGTCAGCCTAATCCACTTATTTGATTTATCCATGTTGCATTACTTTTGATTGCAAAACACCTGGATTATACATGATTTGCCAGCAAAATAGCAGCAATTGATAAACTTGAGTACATTATTGACTGAATGTATCAAACAGAATGCATGTTGGCGAGTTAATGCGATTTTAAGCATGGGCGTACGGGAAGGAAAATATTAGGGGTTGGAAAGAAGTGATTGGGGGGGGGGAGAAGTGATTACAAAAAATTCCTATTAGATAGCATATTTCCCACATAATTGACAGAATTTCCCACAAAATTGACAGAATTTGTCCCATTTATTTCTATAATAAACCAATATTGCCCGACTGTGAAGCGAATATTGCCCGGCTGGCTTTGTTTGCCCAACAAAGCGAGGGGGCGGTCGCCCAGCTAGAAACTGGGGGGGGTCGCCCCGTCCCCTCCACCCCCACCCAGTACGCCCATGATTTTAAGCGATTTTAGGCGATTTAAAGCGATTTTAGGCGATTTAAGAGAAATTTGACCATTTTAACCCGCGATTTAATGCGATTTTGGGCGATTTTAGGCGATTTAAGGCGATTTACCGCCCCAGAGTAGGCCTACTACGGTGTGTCATCCAAAACAACTATGTCCATGAACACATGAGAATAAACAACACGCGTAGGCTACGATGGACCCAAAAGCTTAAGCTAATACATTTAAACGCATATACCCAGTCACACGCCAGAGCACACGTTTCCAGAACGCATCTGCAGCAAGAACACGTCGTAGACATGTATATATAGGGTTTTGTTTAGTGTACCCACCTCGCCAGACCGCACATTAGGAAACGCTGAAACCCCGCGAGAGAACAAAATATATACCATGGACAACATTAGGCTTTTGTGCATTTGAACTCGCTAAAATGCAGTATTATACGGATCTGTTTAAATAGAAACGAACGAGCATAATACAACTAAGTGCTAGTGAAACTCGACAAGGAATACAACAGGTATGACTTAAAAACCTGTACCTAAGAAAATGTGTGGAAAATACGAACACATGCATGCATGGAGATGCGGAAAAATACAGATTACAGGTTGAACGTTAACAATTATAGACTATCTTAGAGCCTTATCTGCTTGCAAAATCTGCAGTGGTCGCAAGGCGATGTGTAATATAAATGCCGTTGTAACAAATTGTACGTGATACCAAAGAAAGCTTAATAGGCTCGAAACTCGCTGCGACGACCCACTTAAATTCGGTAGACAATAAATAGATACCTGATTCCAAGTACAGCTGGTTGAGGAGGACGATTAATTCACATCAGTGCTAGACATACCATGACAAGTCAAATTGTATGGTGAGCGTTATCGTGCTTCTGTGTAAGCAAGGCATTTCGTCCCAAGGCCGAGTTCGTCTGCGACACGTGTTACTTGGATGACCAAAAAATTTCAGCGCCTTTTATACTGTCTGACAATCACGTGGTGTATATGGATGACTGATTATCTCATGCATAAATACTGAAAGTATATGGTATTGTGAGAGAAAACTCCTAGTGAGAATATATGTTTTGGAAATTGATAATTTTGTATTTTTAAAGTGATATTTTTAGGGGATTTTTTATTAGTAAAAATATTCTTAAAAAAATATCGCGTTACCATGACAACTACTTTAAATACTTCATAGTAGGAAAATACAATAGTTTTGTCAGGAAGGCGAGGGTTTCTGCATGCATGTATTTTCTAGATATGATTATAATTATAGTGACACCTTTTTGCATCGCCCGTTTTCCGCCTCGAGCGGACTGTTAGTCATTGTACTAGATTGGGTTTACAAGTTCTGGAAACTGGAATGTAGGTCAGTGGAATTTTGCAAAATTCATTTTTTGGAAAAGGGGGTTAACTCTCTATCACACGCCAATTTTTCAAATTCAAAATACTTTGAAAACACATAGTGTAGCATAGAGTTTTAATGAAACTTGTATAAATAAATATTTTCCATAGGATTTAGATGACGGGGACATTACTACATGATTTAACGCGAAATGTAAACAAGTGGGAAATGTGATAAGCCTCAGTACGGGCCCGCCTGACTATGAAGTCCAAATATAGTAATATACATTAGAACATCGATCCAGAAGCGGTTGCACATTGAGACTGATCATTTTTGGTGAATATATTATGTTGAGATTCAGTTGCTTTCCAAAATCTTCCCAATCGAGGACATTCCCAGCTCCTCCACCACAGTTTTCTTGTCTGGACATACCACTAATCTCATCTTGTGTAAGTAAGCGATCCCAAACATTGGTCTGCGAAATGGTCGGAGGTAGGTTATTCTTAGCACTCGCCGGAAACTTCAGGATCTCATTAATGTTGCGTTTTGTAGCTCCTGCCACCACAAATTTCGCTCCCTTTTTCATTGTGTGGCCTGGATAAAGGAACCTGTTAGCTGAAATTGAAGTTTTACCATGCCAGAACAAATTAGTCTTTCCTGAACTTGAAATGTTACGCTTTTGGATGAATTCAGCTTGAGTATTTTTTTTTACAAACGGCGTATTCTTCAATTAGTGGGGATAGGGCAGCTGGTGTAGGTAAAAAGGCTGGTAATTTACTCAGATCAAGATGCAAGAGATGGATTATCTTTGCTCACGGGCAAGAAGTAACTGTTTAAAGTCGACACCAGTCCCTCTTCAGATAGAAATACACTGGTAGCCGGACATTTTGCCGAAAGACACTTTACTGAAAGGCATTTTGCCGGACGGACATTTTGCAGACGGATATTTTGTCGAACGGACATTTGCCGAACAGATATTTTGACGAAAATAGAGATATTTTCTGAACTTTAAAGGCTCGCTTACACTATCAAACCTTCTGTGATTAAAGTCTTTGATAAAAGTCATTGTTGACTTTGATGACAGAAACTTTGATAGTAAACATGTTTCGTTTTATATTTACAGCGGAGAATAACATGCATGATTCATTCATGAATGTTAAGATAAAAGTTTATTATGTATATATTTCATGAAAAAGCATACATATTGTCGCTCATATTTTATAAAAAGCATGTTTATAACTGGCACGATGTTGCTATATGACACTGCTCTTTGGGCAGGCACGCGAGAAGGATCAGCTTGATGTTCTGATGGTTGCTGCCATAAGGTTTGGATGGTGGTGAATGCTCTGATGGTTGCTGCCATAAGGTTTCCACTAGAGTTGAGAATCTGCCAGTGCATTCTGCAATTTGAAAATTTGCGATTTCCCCGAGAACGGCAAATTTGTTCCATGATTCTCGAAATGAAATTTGCTTACACCACTGCCTTTTTATACGCTTGATTAGAGTTAGTGTCAAAGTTCCATTTTTCTGTTTGCCGATTGGTCAAAACCGTATCACATTCCGGTCCACAAAACGTCATGTTCGGCAACCGGTCCGCACTGAAACATTTATTGGCACGGCGGTCTCGGGTCCACAACGGGTCGGGTCCGTATAACAACGGCGGTCTCGGGTCCACAAAACACACTGTTTCCCAACCTCGTACCCAGGATCTTTCTTTGGGAAAGACCCTGGCTGCGGCTGGTCACGTGCTTCATCAAAAATTTAGCGCCTGAGGGGGTGTGGGGAAAGTATCAAATTACATCAACATGCTTCCAGTGGAATGTTCGTTGAAAACATAGATTTTGCGAATTATTACGTTCAAAATACTTGCTAATTTTTGTTTATTTTCTTTGCTTTGAATTTACAAGAACATTGTTACATTCTTACTTACAGTCAAGTCAAGAAACCAAGCAAATCGTTACTCGCAGTGCTCTCTCGTGTTGTTATTCAATGCATGCTCTCTTCACACTCGAGCGCGGTTATAACAAACGTTTGTTGTAATGGTTTTAAAATAGGCCATTACATTTGTCCTTTCTTGTAAACGTTGATACGCTTTGCACCGATTCACTTGTTACTACGCGTCTTGTTTATAAGAT